GGGGGTGGAGGCCCCATCCCTGGGACCATTCCAGGCCAGGTTGGACGGGGCTGTGAGCAACCTGATGTGGTTCAAGGTGTCCCTGCTCCTGCAGGGGGGTTGGGCTGGGGGACCTCTGGGGGTCCCTTCCCACCCAAAACATTCTATGATTCTAAGGCTCTTCCTATTAAAAAAAATCTTGTCATCTAGTTAAACTCCAGGGCGTTTTGTTATCACTAGGGCAAATCACTCAAAAACTATAGTATAGCTAGCTTTTTATCTGTTTTCATGCATAATATTACACATTGCAAAATTTTAGTACATAATGCTGTAAGCCTTTTATCTTACTGAAGAGATGAATCCAAAACTGTCATTGCTGGTACTAAGGTATAGCTTATTAGTCCAGCTTTCCTTGTACTAATACATAACAGCTCACATAACAAAAAAAAAATTTAGCTCATATAGCATCAGAGAGCTGCTGTGTAGGAGATGGAACAAAGAATACAATCTTTCTATCATTAGATAATTAACCCTATTGAAATTAATTTAGGAGATACGGATCATCGCAGGTTTCAACTTTATCTAAACTGAAAGTTTATTCATACCAATATTGTAATTACATTAATGAAGTCTGTGTAAATAGCACATTTTCTAATTCAGAGTAGCATGTATTTCCCTGAAGCTCAAGAGGCTGGTCAGGCCATAGTTTAATGCATTCTGTCACTTAATACTTGTGATAATTTAAGCAGCTAGTAAAATTCAATACTGGGTAACACTAGGGTAAGAATACGATCCTGATCAAACATTTGTCAGTCTTTGTAAAAGATGACAGGTATTTGAATAGGCAAGCGGATGCAGCGCAGCTCTCAATAAGATGCATGACAGAACTGGAAGCAATGTTGTACCCCTGACAAATGTTAGACCACTTCAAAATGACAGCACTAAATTATGTTATATCTAATAATATGTGGACCTACTAGTGTTTTTTTTATAAGCAGAGAGAATTCTTTTGCTAAAGAAAGATAGAAACTGAGACTCTCGTTCACTATTACTGCAAAATTACGTCAAACAGGTGATTATACCACTAGTTTTTCAACAATCTGATCATTTGATCCGAAAGCTATTAAAAGGGAAGATGCGATAACGTTTGTTGCTTCAAACACAATATTAGCAGAATGAAAAGAAAACCTTGTAGAACCATTCTTTTCTTTGTTCTACTTTCATAACGGCATCAATGAGAGTATTAACATGAGGAAGCACATAAATGTACTTCTATAATGCCTCCAGTGACAAACATATAATAACTTAAAGAAAACCTCTAAGAAGCTTTTCACTGTTGAAATGTAATTTTGAAAGTGATCTTTCAGACTACTAATCCACACTTTAAAAAATCTTGTTTAAAGCAGTTCTGGTATCAAAGCTCTGTTAAGTTTAAATTCATTTTGACTCCTTTGCATTTATGATAGCAGCCTATTTTATCAAATTATAGTTTGCTTTGAAACTATGAATACACAGACCAACCGCAAAACATTCTCATTAAAAAAGCTGTGATAATTTCCTTTCTTTTTACCCATTCAAGAAGTGTCCTACCAATAACTGAATGGCTACTGATACCCCCCACAAATGGTTGACAGCCTTCCCTCAGTATTTAAGTAGTTAAAAAAGGAATTTGTGTTTCTCACTGATATTCATACAAGGATTGGCACTGCAAATACTTACTTGAACTCCTCAGTAAAATTTTCACTAAGAGACAATCATGGTGTAGCAACGTTTCCAAAAGCAAGTTCACATTACAGTATGGCTGGGATAAGAGCAGTTTCAGCTGACCCTGGGCTGCCATTTCTCTGGCTGATGGAGTCCTTTCAAAATGTAAGATAAAGACAGAATAACGTAGTTAATTTATCTATGAAATTAATATCCTTAAAGTGCAGATGTAATGCTAACTCCCTTAAATGTCAATTCCTCCCAGATTACTCTGAAAACACTTTCATGCTTGCTTACTTTAAGGCAGCTCAGGGAAGGAATTACATTTAATCTCAACTAGCTAAAAGCAAATTAACATTTGGTAGTCTGCCAAAGTTATAACCGATACAAAGCAACCTCAGTTATCTCTTTCATGGAAGCATGTTTGCCTTGTTCTACCAGGCAAAAAGGATTTTTTTGGTGCTTGAATAAATTTAAGGCTGTTATTCTTTAGTTAACTATTACATTAATTGTTTAGTAAGAGCTCTGAAGTGTCCTTGATGAAGTATATGAAGCTCTTAACTAAAAAACAGAGAATGCTCAAAGGGGCTGCAACATTCCACATTAGGCTGACCAACTCTCACACATCCTGAAAAATCCACCTGAAATATTAGACTGGTTGGATAACTGCTTTGCCAGCAGGGAGAAGTGAGAAAGCATAGTACAAATTCATTAGCTTTTACAGAGACTGAAGTTTGTTTTCTGTTCGTAGTTTCCATGTTCTGCAAAAATTTAGGTTTCCAAAGAATAATATTCCAGGGCTTCCTCTGAACTCAGCCAGTGACCCAACATCAACCACTAAACTCACATTGGAGCAATTAAATTAAAAAAAAAAAAATAAAAAAATTTAAAAAATCTTGTCCTGCAAGTTGTTTACCAGCTGTTGTATTTACTATTTTCTTCTTCTTGAAATACTTTTAAAAAGAAGTTTTCAAAATTGGGTTGTGGGCAATATTTTTCCTTGAAAGCTTAATTTTCCTTATTTTGAAGGTTTTAAAATTAAATTTCAACTGATGCTTAGCCATTATATTTGTTCATTTTGGCTACAAGTTTATACAACAATAGTTGCTAACATTGAAAGTTTATGCACTGTGTATGTAAACTTGTATGCACATAAATTTTGCATGCACCAGTGTAAAAACTACACATGCACCGACATGTTAACAATGCAGGCATAAACATTACCTGCCAGTATATACGCAACAACTTCAGCATCAGTTAAAGCCGCCTTCATCAGAGGATACGTTTTCCTGTCAGACCACAGGAGGATTTACATGCCTCTGCACATATACTTTGTGTGCCATTTTGTCCTGGTTTCGGCTGGGACAGAGTTGATTTTCTCCCTAGCAGCTGGCATGGTGCTGTTGTTTGGGTTTAGCACCAGAAGAATGCTGATAACATGCTGATGGTTCAGTTGTTGCTGGGTAGTGCTGAGACTGGCCAAGGGCTTCTCAGCTCCCAGCTCTGCCAGGGGCACAAGGAGCTGGGAGGGGGCACAGCCAGGACAGCCCACCCCAACTGGCCCAAGGGCTATTCCAGACCATACGCCGACATGCCCAGTATAAAGACTGAGAGAAGAAGAAGGAAGGGGGGAACACTGGGAATGATGGCGTTTGCCTGCCCGAGTCACCGTTACGGGTGACGGAGCCCGGCTGTCCTGGGGATCGCTGAGCACCCCCCTGCCATGGGAAGCAGGGAAGGAATTCCATGGTTTGCTTTGCTTGTGTGCATAGCTTTCGCTTTCCCTGTTAAACTGACTTTATCTCAACCCATGAGTTTTCTCACTTTTCCCCTTCCAATTCTCTCCCCCATCCCCGTGAGGGCAGTGAGCGAGCGGCTGTGTGGTGCTGAGTTGCCAGCTGGGGTTGAACCACGACAGTTTACACACAACTATTGGGACAGAACTAAAATGGGTTCATCACGTGCCTGTCCTTGCAGAGGGGAACTTCTGCTATGTTGCGCACTTCTACAACACTGACAGCCCAGTGTGCCACCACCCAACTCTGCCTGTGTGCACACATGAACAAAAACAGATGACCACACAAAAACTTGGCTGTTGAGTCAAGGTTTCTGTATAGACAATATACTGAATACAAACCTACAACACCTGGAAATGAAAATGCCAGCTCATAGACCCCTCTAGCTTACTTCCTCACATGTATGTATGTGTCCGTTACCAGAAAAGCAGTATGCCACATATCTTTCAGGGCAACCTTGAAGTAACCTAACAAAACCAAGCTTCCATAACCCCATTTCTTAGCAGAACCTTTACATCACACTATTTTGTCAAAACTTCATGGTTGATACTGTAATAGTCATTTTACTAAAGGAGGATTTTGTACACCTCGGCCTTTGGGATTTTAATAGTAAAGCAAATACCTATGAGTCGATAAGCAATGCATGTGCCATGAAAACTTATCTACAGCTTTTGTGATTTTCATCCAGTGTATTATATATCATCATTGATAGTGTGGCACTGGCTCAACAATTATATTTTTGCAGATTCTATTAATATTATCAAAAATATATACACATATACATTTAAATCTTGATAGAACTTGAAGCCAAAATAACTTTTCCAGACTTAAAACACATATTGCATTCAAACTTTCGACATTAGGGCTTTGCATTCTTAATAGTATTATCTTAATTTCTGCATGTTCAAGATTAGTTATATATATAAACTCTTACGCACGTTAAGAACTAATTAGTAGCTAGTAATTAAAGTTTAAATTAAAACAATTACTATATTCACACTAGAATTAGTTCTGTGGCTGAGAGCAAACTCAACACTTCACTAATTCAATTAAAATATATGGGCCAGTTTCATTTTGTTTCTCCCTTGAATGCCACATTATCATGTCTAATAAGGTCACTCACTGCCTTCAAACTATAAGTAAAGGGACAAGTTTGGTCAATTAGGTTTATGAAGGATAATATTTTCAATGGCTTCAGAAATAACTGCCATTTTTAGAATATTTGAGTTGAAATAAAACTTGTCTGTCATTGACCAGATGGGAAGTTATCATGTTGTAATATACACCAGTTCTTGGCTCTTTAAGCCTCTCGCAAATTGAAATGTACAATGGTGTGACTCACTTGGAGGAAAAATAAAATATAGCAGACATTCCCTACAGCCATGAAGCTAGCACCAATAAATGCACTGAGAAGTTTTGTAACGTGCATATGGAGAGGCATATGTTCTCCCATCCTCGTAGCTCAGTACTAGTGAAAATAAGACTAGCCTCATAAAAAGTGACAAAAGGTGAAGTACATATAAATATCACACATATAAATGTTCAGTTTTGTACAGTAAAAGAAAAAAAAAAAAAACAACCAGACCTCAGATTTGCAAATGGTGTGATTATAAACCTCAAATGAAGCAAAGAATGAATCACAATTACCACTAAAGGAACTGTAATATAAATTATCAGTAATTATTTAGTTTGATAACCAACTATGTTATTTTGGTTAGTATCCAAGATAGAAAAAAAGAAAATCTCAAACGAAAGTTCAGTTTTATATGGCAAATAAACATTAATGCTAATTCATGTTAACAACATTGACAAAGATGTTGAAGCCAAATAGATAAAAAAACCCATACTGTAGCCATTTTTAGGCATGAAAAATAATGTAGTAAATCTGGTTAAATAGTGAAATTGTAAACAAAATTGTCTCAGGAACTAGCAAAACTTTCTCTTGAAGTATCGAGCTCAGGAGGAGCAAATACTTAATATGCCAGGTTAGAGTTTTCAGTTAAAAATTGGGTGGCCACAGCTGGGATGTGTACAATGGCCTGTGCTTCTGGTTTTCTTATGGACAGTGAAGATATATTTTTATTAGATGTGAGAAGTAAAAACCTAAAGCAACCCAGGAAGAATTAGGATGCTTTAGAAGGCAGTTTTCAGTAACACATAAACAGAATGTATTGTTAATAAACTAAATGCAATTATTTCAAGAAAGAAAAGCTTCCATGACATAAATACACAATGTAAAACTGATAACAAAATCAGAATGCCTCAGAATATATCCCTCAAATTACTTCTTTACATACAGGCTCTTTCACCATTTTTCCTGAGCAGCTGAAAGGTGTGTTAAAAGAAAACATTAAATGTTTTACCAACACAGTTCAGTCATTATCAACAGGACAGTACATGTGGCTTTATGCATATGAACCCTCCTCACACAGGTACATTAATTACACCTTCTGACAGATGTGCTTTCTTTTGGACTCCTCATTTTCCCCTTCGGTGGTAAAGAAGAAGTATCTTTTCTCCCCTTTCATCCAGGGAAAATATGTAAATGCTGGATAGCTCTGGAATAGTTTTGTGCTATTTATTCAAGAAAAAGTCTGTCCTAAACAGCATCTGTAAAGTCCTGCTTCCACCTCAAAAAAAGAGAATTATGTCAGACTGAAACGGTACCAGCATTTCCTTTACAAAACTTCTACGCAGCCGAGGGTATTCACTTGTGAAGTCATCTTCCAAAACTTGTAATTCACAGTATAATTTAAATATTGAATACTGGCCTTGGACTAGGACATCAAAAAGCTTATCGTCTTTTCTACAATGAGTCATTAATGAAGCATAAAACAAAATCCCAGAAATAGAGTAGATCCCTTTCTAAGTGATCATGCAGTCATTCCTTCTCCTATACCCCCCTTCTCCTCTCCTTTCTCTCCACCCATGCATAACTTATAAAGCCACCGACAAATGTCCTTGAAGCTCGAGTGAGAGGTAAAACCACATGGTCTTTCAAGCTTTCGAAAAACCTGAATTACTAATTCAAGCAGGGAAAAGGACACATTCTGAATTCAACAGTTATTCCCTCTGTTTGGCATTTTGGTCAGCCAACCACACAACTTTGACTCAGTCACTGCCTCTGGTCCAGCAGGTATTGGAGGCACCAGGGGAGGAGATAACAGCACTGCTGACATCTAGTTAGGAGTGGAGGCTATGGAGAGAAATCAGCATGTTTTGTGCAGTATGGAGCAAAAACATCGGGAAGATACCGTGGTGTACGAGGTACAAGATACTGCGTGTACAGGGCAAGAGGTAATAACATCCACGACACGTTGGTCTGCAACAGGTCACCATAGGTCACCACTCATATGATAACGTATTCCTCCAAAACACAAAAATACTTTCTCAGAAATCACAATAACCACTCAGAAAAGCAGCTTTTCATGAGAATGGAGAGTGAAAATCTCTCAGGAAATAACTTTTGAAGAGGAGGAGGAGGTGAAGGGGTTAGGAGAGGATTTACACTGGTGTGGGAGTGCTTCAGGTTCAAAATTAGAAAGGGAATGACAGCACAGCTGGTAGCATATGTCTTGTATGTAACTTGCCATTATATGCAGTGACACAGAAAAAGAAATTAAGCTTTTGCCTCTAATCATGCAGTAAACTCCCAAAAAATCAACTAAGATCCAGCAGCACATTTTTCAATGAGTTATTTATATATCAAACCTTTTTTTTAACCAGCAATCATAAACAGAGGGGCACACATTCTTTATCTCCCCTTTAATTATAAGTCTTTCAAAACAGCAACTGTGCTGAACTACATTATTGTCAAGAGCTATATACTCTTTAATTAAAGCAAGAAAACCTTACTGATAATTCAAATATCAAACATAATGAATATACTAGCAAAAAGCTACACAGTGCACTGCTTTCAGCATGACCTTTCTTACAGACTCTTAAAGATTAGGGAAATCTGCAATGAATTTAAAAAAAAGGTATATTTTTTTTTAAATCAGACTATTAATTAGACATTTATTCAGATACAGTCTTTTCAAAATGTTGTAACAATATTTGACTATATGCTGATTCTATTACAACAATCAGCTTTTGATACTCACCTCAGTAAGGAAGAACAGGATGATGGTATGCAAAATAACCAGTGTAATGGATGATAAAAGACTTCTGAAAAATCTTGAGGAAGATGTTCATCAGAATTGTTCAGAAATGTCCTGAAAAAAACCGAAATAATTCTGAATTACATGGATGACTGAAAATCCCTTTGGATGACTAGGAATAAACATATATAAATAGAAGACAGAAAATCCCTCAGATAAATAGTACTAATACATGTATGCATACACATAATTTCAAATTTATTTATGTACTGTTAAAAATGTCATTCTATATCTTATTTACTTTCACTCTTTGAAACTTGGTATCTAGCACTGTTAATACTGTTAAAGCAGTTCTCTTCATATTTTTACTCCTATACAGCAAGTTTTCAAACTATGTTTAAAATGCATTGAATAAGCAAATTGCTCCTCAGTCATTCTCTTTCCTTTCTGCACAATACATGCATCATATTATCAATGCTTTTATCATAATCATAAGTAAAATATCTCTTGAAATGATAATGGTTCTCTTTTGAATAATGTGCCAGTACATAAGACTTTGGACTAAACTGGACAAAAATTTGAACCAGAAGTTTTGGACCTTCACTGGCTCAAGAGAAATAGAATACTGGTTGAAAAAACCCCACCATTTTTTATATAATACAAAGATTATGAAGAATTAGAAAAGCTAGCTTTATGTCTCCTCTGCATTACTTCTCCTACCCAAAGGATGTGAGAGGCAAAAATCAGATGTGTCCAATCCGCTGATAATAAAAATTAACCATTTTTATTAATTAATTACATTACATGATTATAAAGATATATAAGAACAGGATTATAGAATTTAATATTTGCCTTTAATTATTATTCAATAATAATAATAAATAATAATAAATGTATTAGTATTTGTAAAATTCTGTAGCAACCACTAGGATTCAATAATGCGTGATGGGAATGGAGGCCGCTTGGCCTCTTCCCTTTTTACGCTCATTCACACTGAACACAGTTCCAGCAGAGAGGATGTCGTCTGTTACATCTATCCTCCATTAACCAAAATCAATTATCACTTCTTTTGCACCTTACTTTTCAACTTACTTGGCTGTGAATTTTTTATCTTAATAACTTTCCTTCTCTGAAGCTTGTTTCTTCATGTATCATGGCTGGGATTTTCTAAGTTATATAAAGAAGGTAACTACCTTTAAAAATGCCACTTCTGCAGAACTCATTTATGGTATATTTGCTTTACTTTCTGGAGTAATTCAATGTCATTCCCACTTTTGAGTCAGTGCTCTTTCAATTGCAGTAAGAGTAGAAGGACGTTTAAAAATACCTCAGCAAAAGACATGAGGGCTTTCTCAGGACAAGGGAATCTTTTTTCAAGACATAAAAAGCCATGGCCACGGCATGGAAACAGTGAGAGTGGACCTAAGCATTTAAGATGGGAGACAGAGTGGAAAGCTGCTGGAATACAGCCTTCAGGAACTCCTAACACAACAGGTAAAATCTCTTTCTTATAGGGTGCTTCGTCACCACAGCATTAATAGTATTTCTGTTTTGTCATTTAATTATTTAAAATTACTTTTACACTCTTTGTCACAGGTGCATATAAGTAATGTAAGTGTAGCTATGTGTCTATAAGGTCACTGTCTGCCTATAAGACCCCAGGTGAAAGGAGGGAATTACACTTGTTCATCAAGAAAGACAGATGTACAGCTCCTGAACTTCTCCAAAAGACAAGGCAATTTATTTGGAAATTAATTTTACTAATGAAACAAAATTAGTAGGAAGAATTTACTACAGACTTCAAAATTATCTTAAATAAACAATATCTGAGCAGAAGGATTAGCATAGAGTGAATTTGTGCTCTTTGTGAATTCATGAAGATTAAAAATAAAGCTGAGATTGTAATAGAGATAAAGGGAGAACTTAAATAGAAAATAATTATTTTAAAGACAGTAATTCCAACATTGTGTGAAAATTTAAGAAAAAAAATAGCTTCTTGTCTCTCATCCTCTGAAATATTTTTCTTAATATAGCAAAAGCATAAAGCCAACTTCCTACAAGAAAGCATGACAGATACAGTTTGGGTAGTAATCTAATAAAAAAAGAGACCACATCTTGTCTACTGATAGTGCTTGAACTGTTTGAGAGACATCTGGGCTAAAGCAGTTTGTTAAGTATGGTTTCTTAGCTGTCTCCTAAGGACAAGCACAGGATAGACTTTTGGACTCCAAGGCTTATAACAAAACCTGTACACAAATTTTTAAACTGAGATGGACATAATCTGAGGGCTTTAAAGGTTGCTTAAATATCAGAATAACTTTAAATACTATAAAAAATCAAGAATCTAATCATAATACAATAATTCTGGTGCCTGCATTTCTCAGTGTCCACTGCTGGCTATGTAATTCTTGCCAGGAAAATCCAACTCTGTGCCAGACAGTTTAATTCACCTACTCTTCCGACAGAAGTATAGTAATAGCTAGTACTAAATTTGTTTTGACTACAAGCTATGTTAAAGCAGCTTCCTATAGTCTCAAGGCAGTGGATAGCATCTGTGAAAGTATTTAATACCACAGCAAGATTCCAAGTTACAGTAGTTTTATTCTTCAGTAGAGTATGACAAGGTGAGAATTAATCTTGTAAGCCTCAGTGCAGGTGTGAAGAAATGAGATGCCAACAAGATGCACCCTAATGGTATTTCCTTGTAGCCTTCAAAGGATTAAACTCTGGATAAGGAATAAACATGACTAAAAAGCAACTTCACGAATTATAACTCTTCTATTTTAAAATTAAGATAAATATTTCCTGTTTTTAAAATTGAATGACAGATATTTTTACCCAATAGACAGCAATGCTACTAATAGAAACTCTAAATTCTTCTCTCAGGATTCAAGTCATTCACCTGATTTCTTGTTGAGAAAGTAAGATATAATAATTCATAGTATGAAATCATAAAAAGGTGCATTGATGATCTTCCCTAACTGAAGGATTGTCATCTCCTACTCAGCACAAAAGAATAAAGAATATAGAAAAATGCACAATAGATCTGCTCCATCCTAAGCAACCCTCAACCTGGTGCAGAAGACAGTCTCTACTCTGAAGTCATAAACGGGTCTGTTGTACTGCACATTGCCAGCCTGCTTCTCCTGGATAATTTCATTCTGTAAAAAATAATGAATGAAGAACAGCACTGGATTCTCCTATGAAATCCACAAGCAGCATCGAAACTGTTAGATCCACTGTACAAAATCCAGCTGCTTGAACTCAGTAACTGACAACAATCTTGTCAGTGAGTAAGACAATGATGACTGGAAACTCTGAGGGATGAAAATCCTCTTTTTCAGAGGTTTGGGTCAGCAGCAAGAAAATAGCAACACATGGTAGATTTGGGAAGCACACTCTGGAGATTGCTGCTGTTCAACAGCTTCCTCAACAACCTGGACAAAAGTGGACAGAGAGAACACACATTTAGGACATTTGCAGGTGACACTAAACTGGGGGAAGCAGGCACAACACTTAGCACGACAAACAGTAGAGTGCCAAGTCATGGATGACTGGGCCAACAGAAACTCACAAAGTTCTCTGGGGTAAAGTGCAACTTTTTGCTCCAGCATCAGAATTACAGTAAGCTAGGCTGGGAACTGACTGTCTGAGTACCAACCCGACCCAACCCCAAGCCTGGGGTCTATGGCCAGTAGGGTGTTGAATACGAGGCAACAGTGTATTCTCATTAGAAAAAATGCAAACCACACACACCGGGCTGCGTTAGGAGGAGTACAACAAGCAAACTAAAGATAGTGAATTGTTTCATCTACTTGGCAACAGTTAAGCCTTACCTAGAATATTTTGGCCATGCGTTGGGCCTACAGCTCAAGGAGGATGTGAAGAAACTGGAAAGGACTAGACTAGATCATCTATGACAAGAGGTTGAGGGACCTAGGCTCCTTTACTCTGGTGAAGAGGTGGCTAAAGGGTCAAGTCATCTAATGGCAGCCTACAACTATCCAAACCGTAATAACAAAGACAACATTAACAAACTTTTCTCAGTGGGAGCTGGTGTGATACAGCAAACTATAGGCAGCAGCTTTGAAGGTTTACACTAGATTGAAGGTTTACACTAGATATTAGGCAATACTTTGCACTAAGGCAGTGCAGCCATGGAACAGGTTTCCTGGAGAGGTTGTAAGGTCTCAGTTCCTGGAGGTTTACACGGGTCAGCCAACACAGTCATCTCTGACTGCTCTTGGTGATTGTCCTGCTTTGAGCAGGAGGCTGGACTAGATGACCTCCAGCAGTCCTTTCCAACCAATATTTCTATTATGCTAAAGTTACTTCAGGCAGGCCAGAGAAGGGTGGAGGAAAATAAAGCACTGAAAAATGAGTGAGTATTAATAACTGATGACCCAAGATTCACAGGTGAATTTAGAAACGTGTCTAGGTAGCCTTGTCATATAGAGAAGAAACTCTAAGTGATAACAGAATGCACAACCTCTGATCACAAAATTAGAAAGGAGGAAGCATATACCAGAATCATTTTATTTGAAGTTAAGGATATTATTAATTTTTCAGCACCCCTACTATTTTGTTGCATTTCAACAACATAATAAAGAATCTTGAATAATTTTAATTCCCTAGAAGCAATAGTTAATACAGCACCTCTAGTAAGCTGGAAATGAGCCAGTCCTATTATTAGACAACTCCTGGAATACAATGTTCTGTCATCACCACTTTTATGATTACACAAAATTTTCCTGAGCAGTCTAAAGATTAATTTAAACCTAGCCCCTGCAGGGAAATTTTCTAGTACCAAAAGAGAGCATGATAGATTTAAAAGAAAAATCTTTATTTCACTTCCAGTTAATTTTACCAAAGTTTTGGAAGATATAAAGCCAAGCTAACAGATGGAAATCTTGATTATACAGCTGTAATTGTAAAGAGAATTGAGGAAGGATTAGTATTACTTTAAAATCATGCATAACTTCTAAATTTGTTATCGATAGATTCTTAACATGATGAGCTATGCACAACTCAATGGACCTAGGAATTCAACATAAAATTCAGTATATGAAAACATTTCCAACTAGGTATAGTCATTCAAGAAGCTAATTATGGTAAATCTGATTTTGTTTTGGTTCTGGACATTGGGTTAGGTTACCTGACAAATATTGGCTGTAATGAAATGTACAATATAAAAGAACTGTTTTGATAATGGACTCTCACAGTTTTTGAAAATAAAAGTTCTGAATACACAGTTCATAGAATATATCCCTTTTTACTTACACAGAAACATGCATCATCTCTAGCAATGTTTTTTAGTGATAATATTATTTTTGTAGCTATATAACAAAATATGACATTTTTTGCATTCTTCTTAAACAAAGCTGCCAGATTTTGGTTATGATTTGTAGACTACTTTGTAGTAAATTAAATGAGCTGCTACACGCTGCGCATGCCAAGTTTTTGATCTCTAGAAAAGCAAATTAGGATACTGAAATTTATATGTCTTAATATGAAACCTCTATGACCGAGTTGTTAATGCATAGGATTTTACTCAAAATACAAAATATGTTGCCTCACTCTCTCCACTGGCACTTTGTTCTGAAACTCGGTGAGTTCTCAAGTTAGCACACATCTATCAGCATTCCAGGTATAGATAAACCTGTAAACAACATGCAGTAGTGGAGGAGACTAGAATAGCTAAAAGGAACATATTTATTTTAGTGCATCATTCTAAGGGCTTTCATAAATAAAAGGTTGAATGTAAAAATTGGCAGTGGAAGCAGTTACTGAATGAACTGCAATGTCCATTCCTGAGTCTATTACTATTGCCACAGCAGGACTACCTAATCTGTTCATGAGTCACCACCTTCATTGCTATTTTTTTATGAGCCTGCATTGTGTAAGATCAAACATCCAGTTACAATCCACTTTTGCATGTTCCTCAGAGCCCACAGACGTTAAAATGAGCCCACACATGACAAAAAATATTTAGTTAAAGAAGCTTAAATACAGGAGGTCTCCACCCTCTTTTTTTGTACCAGTGGTATTACCTAGAATATTCTTATTTAGAATAATTAAAAAAAAAAAAAAAAGCCAGTTGAATAGGATTTGGCTGTGTTAGTTTGGGAGTTTGTTGTTGTTGATTTTTTAATTTGTGATCTCACTTTGTATTTGTCTTACACCAAATTTACAGCAGAATTTTTCACACGAGAAAGCAATGAAAGACTCAGACTTGATTTCAGCGCAAGTAGCATGTCCTTTTGTTTACAGTTGTGACTTGTGAAGACATAATTTTATAAAGATGGGCATTCTATACTTGTTCTCTTTTAAACTATACTTAGTATTTGTTGAAGCATACTGGTCATGTAAGCAGATGATCATTTCAGTAAATTATCTTTAAATTACAGTACTTACAGAATTATTATGGGATAACAGCTGAACATTCTAATTTACCTGGAAGCTGAAGGTAGATAAATCTGAACTAGTAAGAAGATGAAATTTTTTCAATTGTATGAGTGACTAAGTCCTTGAAAACCTTACCAAGGGCTTTGGTACCACAGTGGTAAATGGGTTTAGACCACTAGGAATGTGTTTCTGACAAAACGTGTCCCAGCTGGACAGTAAATTGCAAATTTGGGACAGTAATTATTAATGCAATTCCACTGTTTGTGTTACAGAGGAAATCAAAGCAGACATTCATTATGGTCTATGTTATCGCTGGACAAAAAAATTTGCAGTATAGGAGTTTGATCCAAAGCTAATAAAATCCCAGAAGATATAATTGATCTTCAGGTAAAATCGTAAAGTTAAGTTTAAGACCAAATGGAGAAATGGTCAAAGGTTATCAAAATGTGTCAACACTATGTATTGCATTTGTATTTCAACAAAATTATTCACCTTATAGATCTATGCATTATGTTCAAGAACCAATTTTATCTCAAACTGAATGTTTCTTTCATACTCACTCATACAAATTCTTCAGCGGTGAAGTTAAAATAGCCAGCACAGAGAGCAGACTATTGCAGTGGCTATGTATTTTACAGATCTTGAGATCTCTGTCTTCATGTGGATTCAGAAACTGCTGTACAGAGCTGCAAACTGACCAGAGTATATCTTCAGTGGACATCAAAATTGCTGCAATATCAATTCTGTAGGGGAAAAAAAGTGAAAATAACATTACTTAGGAGATCAGGATAGTGGTAAATTTCAGTTAAATGGAGCTTTCCTCTGACAACATGAAATACCTAAATCATAGCATAGGCTTCAAATTTTGTCTTCCATCAGTGGTGTAGGAACTCTGAACCCACTGCACTGCAAAAATTCAGCATTCTCACAGAAAATTTCTTACAGAAATTAGTCAAAAGAAGTCTTAAAAAATATGGAAACTTTCTTCTTCCAAAGGACAATGCCACTAAACAGGAACAACTTAGCTGCATTTAGTTTTCTTTATGATAAAGTATAATTACAATGTACAAACTATTTTCAAATCCTGCTGGAGCAAAACAGTAATGACAAGTGAACTAAATCTTCAATTTGCAAAACGTATTATGATGTGAAATGTTTCTGAGTCAGTTGACTGTTGCTTGTTGATATTGGCTGGAAGAGCATCATGGGTCATTGGCCTAAACAATAGCAAAGACCCACTACAACAACATAATTTCACAAGAATATTCTGGCATACAACAGATAGGAAACAGATGGATAACACAAAATGTATGGCAGGCATGAAGTTGGACTGAAAAAAGTACTCAAGTACCTAAAAGCCAATGGATGCATATGTGATCATCTGCACTTTTAAGGATCATCTTATTTTTGGAAAATCTAGGCAAACACACATGAACAGGCATTTGTCTATATTACAGATCAGATCTCTAACATTTCAGGAACCACCGGGAGAAAAAACATCCCCCCAAAGTACAGTATTATAAAAAAAAACCTGTAAAAACTCTAAGATAAAAATATATTTACATCTATTAATTAATTTATTTTTTTCATTTGTGCATGACTGGATACTTCATTTCACTCAGTGACAAATTCAAATATCACCTTATTAAATAAAACAGCTTCTCTGCAAAATGACGATGTAAAAAGTTCTTTCTTGTTCAGCATTTTGAAGCAAATTCATATAGAATTGACTAATACTACATTTAAGAGATATGGTATCAACAGATATTCTTCATATTTCAGGGTATTTTTTTTTCCAGGAAAGTTTCCAGGAAACCTCTCTGTACCTAAAGATATGAAGGGCCTAATCACGGTAAATTAGTGCAGGAATAGAGCATACAAACAGGTATTTTGGTATGTAGAATAAAACTGGGATTTCTCCCACCTATTCCAAGAATGTGAGCTTGTGCAGGTTACTTAAGCCTCCATGACAGGCTCCTTTTCATAGTAAAACTTAGGAGAACAGCAAATAACTCTTAGCTTACACAGAACATATCTCTGCTGAGTGTCTCTCATCTCCTACAAATTACAAGCTCTTAAGTTTTTAATTTGCGTGGCCACCATGGACTATATCACTCTCAAAATCTAAAAAGAGGAACATATTTGTATAGGAAAGATATATAGCAAAGGGGAAGGATGAGAAATACACCAATTTCTTCAGTCAAACAAGACACTGAATAGAAAGGACAGAGGTAGGGTAAGCTTTCACCTGGAGACGCCTGCTTTAGTATTTCTTAAGGAGACCCTCCTCTCTGGCAAAACATAAGAATCCCAACAAGAACTTCCAGGTTCATATTTCCTAAAATGACAGGAGAAGGAATGACCTCTTCCTCCTCTCTCCTTCTGCACCACTGGCTTCATTCTGGCAAATCTTTTGATGTGACCTCATAGCTCTTTCACTTGAAAAGCCCTATGAAAACCCAAAGCCTATTGGAACACATGGAGTTTTCTTCATAAACCAATGGCTTGATTTCTAACCCTGATGCCCACATTTTTTGTTGCACCACCACTCCCCAGTGCACTGTTCATCATGAGGCTTTCAAACCAATCAAGCAGTTTATGGAACAACTTTACCAAGAGTTCAAAAGAGGTCTTTGATTCTGCCCAGTTTAGTATGTAACTACAAAATAGATATGCAAAATATATTGAATTAAAATGAACATCAAAATACATAAATTGTGTCTATCCCCTCTTCTGTGTTCATTAATATATAAATTTAAATCAAAGCAGTGCGTAACAGAAAACTAAGATTTACTTATTTTATCCATTAAAAGTGTGCATTAAATATATAACCATTACCTGATTTGTGGTGTTCTCTTGTAACTGGGGCAGGCCTGACAATATCTGGAGGACAGCATAGCCAAAGATTGCTCTAGTACATCTGTAAGAATCTCCTGGGCTGTCTTGGGAGGTAGAATAGTCCACAGATCATGATGAAGAGCACAGCAGAAGTAATGCCACATCTGGACAGAGAATGAGCATCTTTCCCCCTAGCAAAACCACCACACATTAAGTAATAAAAACACACCTTACAAAATGTCAATTTAGTTCCTGTAAGTCTAATTAATTCATGCTGAGAGGAAATAGCTGAAGAGTTTCAGGCACATGATGACCAAAAAATGGTCCTTGACAAGATGTGAAACATCTTTATTAGCATGAAAGCACATGATCCATTTCAGTTACAAAACTAGAGTTCTGCCACAAAACCAACCCACAGCATTTGACCTTTTACAGCCTTAATTAACATATTCTCTATATATTCTCCCTCTGTGTTCTCTCTCTCTCTCTATATTAGCCTGTTCTCTATATATTCTCTCTAGATAATGGATATGCCGTAAGAACAGGAAAAAAAAAACCTAGAGGACTAAACTGAAAATAAGAGATGTCCAGAATTTTTCAGTAATGTATTTTTTTCATCTTATAACAGTACCTCATTGAAACAAAACATTTTCTTGGAAGGAATCAGCATTGGTATTAATATTTCATTGTCTATACAGAACCACCCCAGTAAGACACAGAGATAAATACAGAGGAGTCAAACTCACAGCAGTTAATCCATAATATCTCTAAGAAGTACATAGTTCAACTCACATTTAAATATTTCAACTAATACCTATTCAGAAAATAGCATTATGATGAAGGTGTATCAGAACAAACACTTGAATCTTCACTTCCCACATTCCAATAGAGTTGAGAAATATTTTAAGAATTTGTTGACATTTTAGTATTATCAGAAATATAAAACAACTCCTTGATTTTTAAAACACTGTAAGTGTTCCAGAGGCATTCTCTAATAATAATAAGCCAAAATAACCTGGCTTCTTTTTAAACACACCACATTAACAGATTATTGGGTGTTGTCATTATTCAGTATTTCTCTGCCATAATATTGGAAGTGTGTTTTATGTTAAAAAGTGGTAAATTATGACAAAGACCAAAACTACAAACTTGTGACCACTGCTGTAGTCATTAAATTTATGATTGGTGTAGGCATCTCAAAAATCTCATTTAGGAAAAAAAAAAGATAAGCAAATCATTAAGATGTCCAATTTTCCAAATTTCACCAATGCAGACAAGAAAAAGGTAATACAGATAAGTTTCAAAAGAAAATTAAATGCCTAATTTTCTTCGTACATACAACCATGAAGATCTTTTAACTGTTTTAAGCATATTTCAACAGGGAAACCAAACCCAATCACTCTGGTATTTTAAACAATCAAGCACTTAACAAATGTTTCCACACAGGTAAAATAGGATTGTTTTATATTAACCAAAAAGGGATATAATAAAATAATGGACATATTAAAATAATTTCCTATTTTTCTTATATGAAATAAAGTACAATATGATTTCATGATATACTCAAATATCATCATAAGAAAGTACAAGTTTACTTCATAACTCAACTCATAACTCAACTTCATAACTTTGCATAACTCAAACATTAATATATTTCTGTAAGTCTGGGTTTCTCAGATAATATTACTATGACTACTCTTGAGGTACGTTCCAACAAAACTTATCCAGAAATAAACCCCTAACCCTACCTTACAGACATTTTACTAACATTTCCCTTTGCAAAAACATTTCGACTGTTACAAAATAAAGTTACCAGGTAAAAAAAAAATTAGTTTGAATGCCTAAAGGAAGGTAATTTATTTTGGTCATATCTTTAATTTACAAAAATAAATTTTTTTTTTTCAAAAACTATGCAGACTTAACAATCAGAAATATAATTATAAATTGACTTTCTAATGTAGGGTATTTATTTTTTTAACTAACTGAATTTTGGCGAGCTTTACTTTTTAACTATGTAACTATAAACACAAATTACTTCATTTTCTCTGCTTTATTTAATTTAAAGCAGTAAATTGAATAATACCCTTTTTCTAACATTGTACCTCTGCTGCAGAACCAACAGTTTCAGTAAAGATTTAAATGAGATTAATTCCCCTTTTCTGACCTGTTTTTCTATTTGTTGCCATTTCTAGACAATTCTGCTGGTAAACATCTGCTATTTCTGCAGGCTTCATATAATACAAACAGATGTGAGCTTTTATTTAGCTTATATATCAGGAAACAAGCAGCTGCGCTTTATTACATAAGCCACTCAATATTATCTTTGAACAGACAATTCTTTATTCTTTGACTATTAGAAAACATAAGTTCCCAAAGCTATGGCAGATGTCTGCTACCCTAAAAGCTCTGTTCAACAACGTAATCTGGAGAGCTGGCCCAGTGGCACAGTGGGTGTTCGGTGCTCTCTACCAGCCAGATCCTGAACCCAGAGAGTTTCTTTCCCTGGCAGCTTGGACTCTGAGCACCGCATGGGAACTATGTTCTTAGAGCTCAGCTCAGATCTCACATTACCACAGATTCACTACTTGTATCTCACAAAATCTCTGCTTAACTTTCCTAAAGGATACTTGAAACTTTCTGCGATCTCACAGTAATTATAATTTCTGTGTTTACCCTCCAACCATAATTGGTCTTTTAATTCCATTTACCACTATTGGATTAGGTGAACATCAGAGGGAGGATGGGTGAGCAGGTACTGAAATTGGTTGTGAAAGTCCAAAAATATTTTAAAATATTATTCTTACTTTAACAATGTAGAAAATTATTTTATAGAATGTAATAATCGTTTGCTACCAATCGTGTTCTCCTCAGATGTTACCATTGTACAAACAGACACTTAAACAAACACGGAAACTGCAGCTGTGTGTAATCAAACACACCATCCCCTGCTCCCTCCTCATTACCCTTTGTCTTTCAGTGGTTTTGTCTTCTTTCTGAATGACTTACACATTAAGTAAGCCAAGCAGTTTTATCAGTCAATATGTCACTAGTGGGGAATGGAAAGGAAGACTAGAGCATATTCTTTCTAAGCCCACATGACTGTCCTATATTATTGGGGAAAAATAGAGAATAACTTCATGTGACCCCTGAAGTGCAGGATTGCCATTTAGTTTGTAATTAAGCATGCAATACAAAAATGAGGAAAGAAAGATGTCTTCCTCTTCCTTCTCCCCTACTCATGCACACAAAACCAAAGGACAGGCAATGCTTTGCTTATTTCACAGGAGCACAAGGGAATGTATTTTTTTTCCTTTATGAAATTGCATTCAGGATCTACAGATGAGGACTGAATCTTTTATAGTTGCATGTAATACTCAGAACTAGGGGACAAAGGGTAGTGAGAGTCCTGACCTAAACCAGATTCCAGAGCTAGGCTACTCAAGAGTCAAGCAGAAGCAGGGAGCCAAGGGCAGTTTTCCCTTAAAGAAGCAAGATCACGTTACTGTTTACAGCAGCAAGAGCTGTGAACCACTGACTCGCACAAGTGCAAGCGTGTGTTCCCATTGAGAAGGGAGGAGCTCATAACAGAGCCTGCTCTTGATGACTGGCAAGGTCTTCTGGCGCCTGGCTCCAAGCTACTCTTGTTTTCTGAGCTCAGAAGGGTCTGTATGACTTGAGGGGCAGAGCCTCATACTTCTTGCTGAGCTCAAACCTTGGAAAGAGCCACCTCTCACTGCTAGGAATTTCAGCAGAATGTCGCCTCTATAATAAGCAACAGGTCTTAAGCCAATCTCTTCCATTTGGGACGCCTGCAAGAGCTCAAGAGAAGTAGCATCTGCGCAGCATCATGCCTCCTGAAGGCACTCCGAGCAGATCATGGTCCATCCTTCAGCCATGGGCCATGGCCCAGTAAAGAGCAGAGTGACGATGTAAAATTACATTCCCTCCTCAAGTCCTGCAAGAGTACAGAGCTGAGATACTAGCTTTCTTCATACCTCGCTACGCACATCAGTTCTGATCAGTAATGATAGAACTGTTTAGCTAATCCATACTCCTTCTTCTTGAGACAGCTATTTCCGACAATTAGTTTTCCAACATGTTGAATACTTATTGGGTCACTAATAAACAGGACACAGCACCGTACAGACTACAAACAGTGAAGGTCATATCATAATTTATCAGTTGCCAGAAGCCACTAAATATCTTACCTTCTTATCAAGCCAGGACATCTGGGCTCACATTCAAACAAAAGTAAAATGCTTATTTACTTGTCTTTGAGGGATGGACATTTTGATAAGATTACTCATATTAAGGCCTGCATCACCTGTCCAATACAGATTTTTGTCACTGACTCAGCAGCTTTTTACATGACATCTGTAGAATACATGTATCACACAGAGTTTTCGTTCATGTAATTCTCGAAAAGGCTTAACAACTCTCTCACACAGCAAATGGTATAAGGAAGGGCAGGACTTTCTCTCCAGAAGATCTCTGTTATTATTGATAAAAAGCATATAATACTTTCACTTCATCCTGAAATTAAGTAAAAATAATTTCAAACAGTCAGTCTATGTCTGCATTTAACTGGGATGAAGGAAAACCCCAATGAATTATAATAATTCCCTTGGTCTTCAGGGAATCATTAGGATTATAGTTTAAGAGCAGACCTGTGACTTCAAAATTCAGGTGAGATGGCACTAGTTATTTCAGAAATATATTGTAGAATGCTGAAGGTAACTATATTGACCATCAACCTTTGTTACATCTTTCACTCACTCCTGGAGGTATTTAAAAGAAGGATAGATGAGGTGCTTAGGGACAGGGTTTAGTGGTGGGATGGCAGGGTTAGGTTAAAGGTTGGACTTGATGATCTCAAAGGTCTTTTCCAACCAAAGCAATTCTACGATTCTGTGAAAAGGCAAAAAGGGGAATCAGCTGAAAATAAAAGAATCACATTTAAAATTTCCAGGAGAAAAATAGCTGTCTAATTTTCATGTGTCACACTTTCCATAAGAAGAGTTAAAATGACTGCATCTTCTTAACTGAGTTCTATGTAAATGTCTTGAACTTGACACACACCATTTTATTAAGCAAATGACACAGACACTCCATGGTAATGATTTATCTCATCTTTAAATGACTATGTTTTCCTACACCATTTCTACAGAGACATTGGCCTGCAATAATAGATATTTCAAAATAGTAAATTCCAATAATCTTTATATAAAAATAATTCTGATCTTACGCTTCTGATTAGTCAGAGAGCTGGCAACCAGTAAAACACATTTTGTAAAAGGGAGGCACAGTAAACTTAACCTCACACCTCATAAAAAGCTTTGTAGTCATCCCAGTGGTGGCTCTCAGCATCCTGTAAAATGCTTGTAGCACAAACTCTGACGCAGTAGTTCGTAACTTGAAACTGGAGAGCATTGATGAATTCCTGATATTGTTGGACAGGCACTAGGAACAGGGGTCTGTTCAGAGAGAATGATCAAAGAGGCAAAGATTGAAAGGCTGTGCAGTAGGAGGTAACAATCCCCGGCGCAGCAAATGGTTTTGATTATTAGGTATCAATCATTCATTTCCTCTTGGTCCTGGAGTCTGAATCTAGCATTTGCTTTTGAAAAATATCTGGTCTTTGTTTCAAAAGTTCTTTAAATATATCTGCTCATCTATAAATTCTCATTTAACGAAGTCACTGAGAAATATATTGCTTCATTCTTTTTTCTGAGACAAAAGTACCTTTGTCATTCAGTGATTCTGAGATTCTGGGTTGAAGCATAATTGCATCAGCACTGAGCGCAACGAAGAAAACATAAACACGGAGTCCAGATATTATTTTTGGTAGGTATGTACTTAAAATGTTTTGTAATACCCATAAGTGGAATTACTGAGCAGTATTTTGGCTCACCCTTCCCATTCACAAAGACACACTTCATGCAGGAGAGAGTAAAACACAAGAGGGAAAGTAGCTCAGCAGCGCATACAACCCCTCAGAAGGCATACACTTCTTGAGAATTCCACTAGTTCAGGTGTCCCTCCCCAAAGGCCCAGTTTCTACTTGTCAATTACATAGGGCCAGAAACACATGGACCAGTAAAGAGACTCCTGGTATCTTAAGTCAAAATCCCCAGAAAGCACAGCAAATGTAGTTATATTGCCCCCCCAGGTCAAACACTGTCTTAGACTTTACACTAATACTTCACATCTTCTCTAATTTTTATTCTGCATGCAATGAAGAATAAATTCTGAAATTACATTGGATGCATTTGATCACACTTCTGAATACAGGCGGTGTGAGGAAAAAGCACAGGAATGCATATTTATATTGTTCTCTGAGATTGCTGTGTGCTAAATCAGGTTTTATGAAAATTCAGCTATTGCAAAGGTTAGAAAAGGAAATTAAGGCCTTAGTCCTCCATTTATATGAGAGCAGTGTACATTCAGTTCACTGGACAATCCTATTTACTCAAGCTTAATAAATAAAAAATATTGATCTGCAGATCAAATGCAGATCTTAAACATAAATAATTTGTTTTGTAATGGCTGCTTTAGATTATCAATAGCTTTGGTTCAGGTCTTTCCATAAATAGTACATGCAGTGCGTGTGCTAAAAAATATGATGCAATTTGGAAAACTACCACCATACTGTATCACCCAAATGGAATGAGGTCCTATATTATTTATGTTTGAATTAAAACATTAGAAGTAAAAGGGACTCACTTTTTGCTTGTTTCTCGCATTAAATTGCTATACATTGTAAAATGCTGAAAGACATATATCGCTGTAGAAAGGGCAGTATACAGGTCTTGCAGGGGAGCCTTGGAGGGAACGTCTTTGCTCTTGTCCTGTAGCCTTGCCAGAACAGCTGCTGCCACTTTGCTGCAGGCCTCTACAAAGTTTGCTCGAATTTCCTGAAGAGAATCATCTCTGCATGCCAGAGCCAATGGAAGCAATGTGTCAAGTTCTTCCATGATGTCAGAGCAAAACTGAGAGAAATAAATGTGGCATCGAGTTATTTGTATTCTGACAGCGCTGTCTAATTTATACACACAAGGGTCAGATTCTTGAATAATGAAATTGGCATAAAACATAAACATATTAAATCAGCTTTACAAACATTTTGTTCTGCTATACAGGGGAGAAACATTTATCTACAGTAAATGAATTATTATTTCATTCCTTCTTGCTTTAAAGCTGCATAATATGTATCGGGGAAAAAAAAAGTAAAGCCATCTTATGCTAGTAATGCCTTCATTTATGTTTATGATTTCATCAGATGTACATTCAAAGCATAAGGTTAATTCCTTGTAAACAAAGACAATTTTCTAAACTAATTTATTTTGAAAAATATACAAACACATTTCTTAATACTGAATTTGAAAACAAACTTGTCATCTCTTGGTAAATTCATACATTGATCTCCCTAAAATTATCTCCCAAAAGCTTATGTGTTAGGCAAAAATTCATTAACAGCATTCCAAATTTGCTAGAACAGTTGCAAAGCTTACTAAATAAAAAAAACTTTCAAACACATATTCTCTCAGAAAAACAATTTAATTAATCATCATAAATGACCTTTCAGACAAATCAAAGAACTCTAATTTGGCCATATTGTTGGTTAGGCTGATTAGTTAAATGGCATGTCTAAGGATATGAATACAGAAAACGTCTTTAGAGCTATTCTTCAAAGCTTTCAGCATTTTCCCATCGAACCACTTGGTAACAGAGCAGACACTAATCAGAATGTTTTAGAACTTTTTGGATGAAAAAAATAATGCCAGCAAAGTTTAAAAGTTAATTCTTTCAAGTATAGACTGTGGGCTATTGTACAAAGCTCTGTTCAGCCTCATATTGTAATGCGTCTCACTTTCTTCTTAATTCCATTTATATAAGATATAGAATATTAATGGTACTGTAAGTACTTCAAAGTGTAGATGGCAAACAGCCTTGGCATTCTGTCTCCCCTCAAACTTCAGATCTTTTGATACCTGCCTTAGCAATTCGTTTTGGTTGCTCCTCCTGTTGGACTGCTCCGCAGGACTCCCTCATTTGCTGGTTGTTTACAAGGTTCATTGCATAGCCTGCAGCTGAAAACTCTTCTTTCTGCTCATGTTGAAGAATTTTAGTTGAAAAATCCTCAATTGCTATTGTTACACAGTGAGCCACAGAAGAAGACAGGTCTTTAAATGCATTTCTCCAGCCAAAATTCAGCGAAATAGGCTGAAATACATATTTATATTAAATCAATATGAATTCATTATTAGTGTTGTTATTGTCTGAAACTTATACAATCATCCATAATTAAATTAAAGGACATCATCATCTTTCAAAATTAATTTTAACATCTTAAAATATAGTCTCCTAGCCTTGAAATCATACTAAAGGCAGTATATACACTCAACAAAAATGAGCATGCATAACTATTAAATTTGTCATCAAATTTATAAAGCCCCCTGTTTAAACAAGACTGCTTTTCAAAAGCTATGGTTCATCTTTACGTTATTTATAATCTTTGACAGAATCTATTTAACAGGGACAAATGCATTTATAACCGTGCTCGATAGTTTAACACGTAATCCAGCAGTGGATACCCTATAATAATTTTCACTGCAAGGTAACAACTGGAAGTTACTAACTATGAATACTAATAGAAAATATTTAGAGGAGCTGCATTTAACACAGCCACACTGGATGTCACTTCTCTAGAGCTGGATTTAGAAAAGATTAAAATGTTTAAATACAGATTTCTAGTTTTTAGCCAATGCTGGCTTTTGCTATGGTTTATGTCAGTTCCCTGCCTTCTATAAACAGAGATTTCCGACATTATCTGAAGCGTAACAGTTGCAAGAAGTAGACACAGTAGGACATCATTACTTTTTCACTGATCTTGCTTTGCGTTGCTCATATAACATACAGCAGGCTTAAACCTTACCAGAAGCAGCCAATTGAGAATTGCACCACTGTAAGAGAAATATTTGATGACCTAAGATGTACAGTAAAGATGCCCACTATGAGGGCATAGTAGGAGGAAAGAAAAGAAGTATTCCTAACAAGTTGCAGCTATAATACTAAACTGGAAGACAACAAAGGGCTACGAAGTGGAGCCCTCCCAGCTTACTCCAATTCAGAAGTTGCCTCCTCCATCCTTTCCCCTTCCCCAATCCCAACACTCAATTCCAGTGCGCATAGAGGCAGCCCCCATGGACACCCATTTTTGCACCCCCTCTTTTTTTTTTTTTTTTTTTTTTTTTAATCTTGGGTCAAGTAAAGCTTAATCTTCTCAAGATACTGTCCTTTGTAATCTGTAAGATACAGGAACATTAGTTGCACAAAACTGACCGAAAGCACATTTTAAAAAGTCATTTCAGCACTGAGCCATTAGGAAATTAAAGCCCACTATCACAAAGTACCAGACTTCTTAGAACATTTAGGTCCCATAAATTCAATGATAAAAATTTGTTTAGTAGTAAATGGAAGCCAGGCTAAAACTTAATCTTGTACATACATTCTACAAATCATAATGCTTACTACACAGTAGTTTGTTGGCATCAAAGAAACTGGACATGGTGACAGTGCTTATCCCCACAGGAAGCATCATTATGATCAAATGCTAAGAACTTGATAGATTTTTTTAAGATTCTACTGTATTTGAGAATATGTTTAATACTGAAGAAAGCCATCATATTTTAGCATTTTTTTACTGTTTTGTTATGAGGTATCTTACAATTCTGATGTTAAATCCATTCTGTTATTCAACCTTAAATAATAGCCACTTCTTCACGAATGCCTTAAGATTTTATTCCATCTTAACTGAGACTCTGCACCTAAAACTAATTGCAGTAGCTAAATAATGAAACTATGGCAATAGGTGTTTATAATGAACATGGTGACAGACTACACTGGAGACACAGACAAAAGAAAATCCCCTACAAAGTGTAAGACTCTTTTCATACTCACCTCTTCTACCTGAAGTAACTGTTCAGGAAGCACACTGGTTTCATTTGCTCTAGTTTCTCCTATTAAAAGCTCCCCACTAGCTTTCTTCAGAACTCCTGCACAGTATGATAAAAGGGATCAAAGTTAAGATTAATTCTGTAGAAAAGTCAGCAGCCTACAACACCTTCTGATATATCAATATGAAGCATAAAAAAACCCTCAACAAGATGTAGGGGAATACTAATGTTATGATAAAGTCAAATTCAGGTTATACACAGCTCCTTTTATATAACATGATGAAATCCACGTCCCATTGTATTCATATTTTATACAAACGCACATATAATGTGTAAAATATAGTTTCTTTTGTCATTAATTCATTTTTATACTGATTGTGCAGTCACCTATTCCTAGGGAGAACAGATAACGTTAGAACAGCTGTGTAGAAATTAATTTCTATTCTTTGTTCAATAAATTATATGAATTGCACACTAATGTATTTTTATAGTTTTTACTTATTTGGAAATGCCAGTATGATAAGAATAAAAAGACAGTTAATTAGTACAGTTATTATAAGCAAAATAGTGGCGACAGGGACAAGAACAAATGAAGCTCCTTAAGAAGGGCTGGTACAAAGCTCACTCATAAATTACGGAGTAATAGGAATATTGCCCCATTTTTGACAAGGACAAACCAGTATCTGGGGTAGATATCACTTTCATCAGTGCTTCAAGCAATCCAGGAGGTTCCTGGAGTGCCCTGATAGTAACTTCCTCCTACAAGTGATGGAAGAGCCAATGAGGAGAGGTGCTCTGCTGGATCTCATACTCACCAAAAAGGAGGGGCTTGTTGGGAATGTGAAGGTCAAAGGCAGCATTGGCTGCAGTGACCGTGAGATGGTGGAGTTCAGGATCCTGAGGGCAGGGAGAAGGGTGAAAAGCAAGCACACAACCCTGGACTTCAGGAGAGCAGACTTTGGCCTCTTTAAAGATCTGCGTGGAAGAGTCCCATGGGATAAGGCCCTTGATGGAAATGGAACCCAAGAAAGCTGGTTAATGTTCAAGAATCACCTCCTCCAAGCTCAAGAGAGTGGGAAAAAAAATGCCAGGAGGTGTGTATGGATGACCAAGGAGCTCCTAGCCAAACTCAAAGACAAAATGAAGCCTACAGAGAGTGGAAGCAACGATGGGTAACCTGGGAGGAACACAGAAACAATGTCTTTGCACCCAGGGACAAAGTTAGGAAAGCTAAAGCCCAAATGCAACTAAATCTGGCCAGGGATGTCAAAGACAACAAGAAGGGCTTCTACAAGTACACAGGTGACAAATGGAAGGCTAGGGAAAATGTGGGCCCCTTGCTCAATGAGGTGGGGGACCTGGTTACACAGACATGGGAAAGACTGAGGTACTGAATGCTGCCTTTGTCTCAGTCTTTAGTAGTAAGACCAGCCTTCAGGAATCCCAGGTCCCAGAGACCAAGGGGTAAGGTTGGAGCAAGGAAGATGTACCCTTGGTGGAAGAGGATCAAGTCTGGGAATATTTAAGCAAACTGGACATATGTAAATCCATGGGCCCTGATGGGATGTACCCAGAAGTGCCAAGAGAGCTGGCAGACGCCATTGTAAGGCCACTCTTGGTAATCTTTGGTCAAGCATGGCAATGGGCAGAAGTGTCCAAAGACTGGAGGAAAGCAAATGTCACTCCTATCATCAAGAAGGGCAAGAAGGAGGACTCAGGGAATCAAGGCCAGTCAACCTCACCTCAATCCCTGGGAAGGTGATGGAACAGCTAATCCTGGAAACCATTTCCAGGCATGTTACAGACAAAAAATTTATCAGGAGTACTCAGCATGGCTTCATCAAGAGGAAGTCATGCTTGATCAACGGATAAACTTTTCTGAAGAAGAGTGACCTCGTAGATGAGGGGAGAGCAGTGGATATCATCTACCTGGACCTTAGTAAGGCCCTTGACACTGTCACCCATAAGATCCTGTTATGGGACAAGCTGTAGACAAGCTCTTGATGCGTGGGCTGGATAAACAGACAGTGAGGTGGGTTGGAAACTGGCTGAATAGCCAGGCCCAGAGCGTGGTGATCACTGGCACAAAGTCTAGTTGGAAGCCAGTAACTACTGATCTATCTCAGGTGTCAGTACTGGTCCAGTCCTGTTCAACATCTTCATTAATGATTGGGATGATGGGGCAGAGTGTACCCTCAGCAATTTTGCAGATGACACCAAATTGGGAGGAGTGGCTGATATACCAGAGGGTCATGCTGCCATCCAGAGGGACCTCAACAGGCTGGAGAAATGGGCACACAAAAGTTCAACATGGAGAAGTGCAAAGTCCTGTCCCGAGGAGGAACAACCCCAGGCACCAACATATGCTGGGGGCCACCCAGCAGGAAAGCAGCTTTGCAGAAAAGGACCTTGGGGTTCAGATGGATGCCAAGTTGAACATGAGCCAGCAATGTGCCCTTGCTGCAAAGAAGGCTAATGGTATCCTGGGCTGCATTAGACAAAGTATTGCCAGCAGGTCAAGGCAGGTGATCCTTCCCCTCTACTCAGCACTGGTGAGGCCACACCTGGAGAATTGTATCCAGTTCTGGGACACTCAGTAAAAGAGAGATGTGGACATAGTGTAGAGTGTCCAACAAAGGGCCATGAAGACAATGAAGGGACCAGAGCATCCTACATATTGGGAAAGGCTGAGACTACTGCAACTGTTTAGCCTACAGAAGAGAAGGCTTGAGGGAAACTCGTTAATGTAAATAAATACCTGAAGGAAGGGTGCAAAGAAGACAGAGCTAGGCTCTTCTCAGTGGTGCCCAGGGACAGGACAAGAGTTAACAGACACATACAGAAACACAGGAGGTTCCCTCTGAATATCAGGAAACACTGGAATAGGTTGTCCAGAGAGGCTATGGAGTCTCCATCCTTGGAGATACTCAAAAGCTGTCTGGACATGATCCTTGGGCATGTACATGGCCCTGCTTGAGCAGGGGTTGTTGGATCAGATGACCTCCAAAGGTCCCTTCCAAACTCAACCATGCTGCGGTTCTATGAGTCTGTGTTTCAAAAGGAATATGAGAATAAAACCAAACAATATGGTATTTTAAAAACCTGTCTCTTAGCATAAAGCTGATAAAAAACACAGGTGGAGATATTCCTAATTTAATGTATCTCATGTGAAATTAAAACCAAGAAGTTTTAAATAATAGGGTGCTGTCAAGAATTGTTAAAGATTATCCACTAAGCACAAACTTACAGGTCTTCAGTCACCTGAAACTACTGGTGGTACACATGGCCAAGGTTTAAAGAGCTTTTCTCTTTCTGTGAAACACCTATTATTTGCACAAACATAGGATTTCATTTACCCAAAGTGGATTTTATCTCTCCCCTAAACAATTTGAGCTCTGAAAAAGAACACTCTGCTTTTCATACACCTATGCAGCATTCTAAAGCTTCAAGGGTTTTGTGTTTGGTTTTTTTTTTTTTTCCAAGCACTGTTTTCATTTTCATTTTCAAAAGATATCAGGGAAAAACAGATTTTAGCTGGGAAAAATGGAAGATAAAATGGTAGGTTATAAAAACACATGAGACCGAACAGGTCATCTAGCTCCCTGATCGCTCACCATATGTTACAGACAGCACCAAAAATTTACTCCTTTTTCAATATGTTTTAATATGTTTTATGATGAAATTTCCTACAGTTTTCTTTAGAAATTACTCCAGAATTTTTAAAAAAAAACACAAAACCAAAGACAACTGACTGGGTATTTTTCCTCTTTTCTACTCTGTGCTTTCTGCCTTGTTTTTCCTTGCAATTTTCCTTTCTTATATAGGTATAACACCTGATTCTAACTATAAGCACAATTGAATATCTATATATTCACATTCTCTTATTGTCATTACTTAGATCAGCTATTTATAGGCTTTAAGATCAAGACTTTAAAGAAAACCCTTAACATTTAACCTAAAATCCTCACATATTTCTGGAATTGCTGCCTTTTCTGTTAAGAACTCACAGCTGAGATAAATAGGTATCTTGCTGACAGCAGATTCGTGGCTCGAGGACCAGAGGCGAAGAGCCAGCATCAGTCATTTCATTTTTAAATTAGATTCGTGGCTCGAGGACCGAAGAGCCAGCATCAGTCATTTCATTTTTAAATTAACGGGTTCTACTAGATGTTCCCATCTCCTTTTCTAACTAACAGCCTGGGCACTTTTGCCCTATGTTCATATACATAAACACGTGCATACAGGCTCACACACATATGAAACCTTTTCCAGTCTTCCCAAAGAAGCCCCAAGGTCAAGTCTCATATCTTTTACTGAGTTCCTTTGGTTTCCCAAGTTTTTGCTTTTCCCATATCTCATCTAGATAAAGTTGGCCTTTATCTTCTTCAATTTAACCTCCAGCTAGCAACAGATCCCTTCACGCTTTTCATTGATCATTGCACACACCCCCAAAGCCTCTGCACTTCAGGTGCTACCACAACCTTCCTCTTAAGCATTGTTTCCACAGAGACCCATATCAAATTACCCCCTTCCAGTCCTGCTACTTCTTCACTTATCTTCTGACTGTCTTGTCCTAATCAGCAAACTCCCCTGGGAAATAAAACTGCAGGTTTATTCTAGAGACTGGTACAGCTGCTGTAGTGAAGCTACTCAGCCCAAATTAGTCTGCCACTGCAGACAGGCAATGGGCAGAGGAAGCATCCCTACCTAGACAGCCATAGTTTTCTGCACAAATTCTTTGACTCCTCTCTTCTCCCAAATTCCAAACCTTAAACTCCATTTGCACAGACAGGCACAAATGTATGCAATCCTTCTCATGTGGCTGCTTAGAGGAGAGAATTTGCAGAAAGAGAGCAGAAAGAAGTGGATGTCTTGAAAGTAGAAGATAGAGGCTGAAGGAAAACTTCTCAGGTTTTCATACTTGCTCCCTTTCCAGAGCATATTCTGCATCTCCACTGTTCTTGATTATTAGGGAAGACTGGATTAACCAAAAATCCTTGCTATATCTTTCTTGAAACTTATGTTCTACAGACTTGATAAACTGCTCATACTTTGTGTACTTCCTTCTGTTTACCAGACAGGCAGCTTGAATAACTTTG